AGGTCCGAATGATTACAAATAACATCAAAAAACCAAGATTCAAAAGATAAGATCTTGGCTTTGTCAATGAGGAGGGATAATTGACAGCCAAACCAGATACATCTAACCCAAGAACAAAAGAATAGAAGATGTTCCAAGCTTTCAGGTTCTTCAAAGCAAATAGGACAAAGGGGGTTGACAGAACAATGACGATAGAATAATCTCTCCCTTGTTGGTACTGCTTTAGAACAACACCTCCAAATAAAAAGAAGGATTCTAGGCAGAGTTTGGATTTTCCAGAATTTCATCCAAAAAGCATTTGAAAGAACAAAAGACACTCCTGGACGGGTGTTCACAATTCTATGAGACAAGAGCTCTCCCTTGTAACCCAATTTCACAGTAAAAACTCCATTTTTGGCCTTAGTCCAAACAAGCTTATCACGGAGGGACATATGTTCTAATTTGATATCATGAATGGAATTTAAAATATCATCAGGTATCCACCCAAAGAGGTTAGACAGATTCCAAGACCCATGATCAATGAGAGTATTGACAGTAGCATTAGATTGTGTCTCAACATTTGTAACTTGAGTGAGAGATTTACCTTGTAGTTTGGGGATCCATGAATCTTTCCAAATGTCAATAGATCTCCCATCTCCTATCAACCAGCGGCTATCTTTAATGAGGATTGCCTTCCCAGTGAGAATGCTCGACCAAATCCATGAAGCTTTGTGCCCTTTCTTAGCAGCCATAAAAGTGCAATTGGGAAAATACACTCCTTTCAAGACTTTATACCATATAGAATCTTCTTCTTGAGCTAATCTCCATGCAGTCTTTGCGAGAAGAGAGTCATTCATGACTTCAAAGTCTCGAAATCCCATACCCCCATCTGTTTTTGGTAGTTTCATTTGATCCCAAGCTTTCCAGTGGATGCTGCCACCTAACCCGCTGCCACTCCACCAAAAGTTAGAGATCAGTCTGTCCAGGTCTTTGCAGGTCTTTTTGGGGAATTTGAAGCAATTCATTGGGTATATTGGTATAGCATTGACTACCGCCTTAATCATCACTTCTCTACCTGCAAAGGATAAGAGGTTTTTACGCCATCCTTGTACCTTTCTTCCCACTCTTTCCTTTACATAATTAAGGGCTTGTTGTTTAGATTTTCCCCACATATTCGGAATACCTAGATACTTTCCAGGGTCATCAATAGTAGGAATTCCTAGGGTATTATTCACCATTTCTCTAACATCTTCTGGAGTATTTCTTGAGAAAACAAGCCCTGATTTGTTCAAATTTGCCTGTTGCCCGGAAGCCACACAGTACATATTCAGCAAATGAGCTAGCTTGTGGCAATTCTCGGCACCAGCATTCATAAAGAGGAGTGCATCATCTGCAAAAAAAGTATGGGATAACATTGGGCAGCTGTTAGAGAGTTTAATCCCCTTCAAGCTTTTACAATCAACATTTTTATTCAACATACATGAGAAAACCTCTGCCACCAAAATAAACAAATATGGGGACAAGGGGTCCCCCTGTCTCAGTCCTCTGCTTGGTGAGATAGCGCTCACCTTTCTTCCAGAGAGGCAGATGTTCATATGTACTGAGGAAACACAGGCCATGACAAGGTTCACCCATCTTTCACAGAAGCCAAGTTTAAGCATAACAGCTCGTAGGAAATCCCATTCAATCCTGTCGTAGGCTTTACTCATATCCATCTTCAAGGCAAATTCATACTTACAACCCCTGGTCTTCCTTCTTAGGTAATGAAAGACCTCATGGGCAATAACCACGTTGTCATGGATAAGTCTACCGGGTACAAAGGCGCCTTGGTTTTTGGAGATGCACTTTTCTAGTAGTAGTTTCAAGCGGTTAACAAGCAGCTTGGAGATGATCTTATAAGAGAAATTGCATAGTCCAATGGGACGGAAATGATTCACTGTCTCAGCCTTATCAACTTTAGGAATAAGGACTATGTTAGTATCATTGAGTTTGCCCACATCACCCCTGCCTTCAAAGAATTCCTTAACCATATCAACAACATTGTTCCTTACCGTCTCCCAACTGCCTTGGTAGAATTTTCCACAGAAACCATCAGGCCCAGGTGCTTTGGATCCCCCAAGCTGGAAAGCTGCCTCTTTAACTTCCATTTCAGTAATAGGAGCCAACAGAGTAGTGTTGCTTGCATCATCAATCTTGCTCTCAACATAGCTGAGAATCGCAGTAAAGTCTCGATGATTTGAAGCAGTAAACAGGTTGCCAAAGTAGCTTGAGATGGAATCTGCTATCTCAGTTTCATCCTCAACCCAAATACCATCCTCCCTTTTGAGCTTGAGAATTGAATTCCTTTGCCTACGTCGGATTGTGGCCATATGGAAGAATCTAGAATTACGGTCCCCAGCCTTCAACCAAGCTATTCTTGAGCGTTGCCACCAAAATGACTCCTCTCTTTTCCAAGCTAGTTCTAATTCTGCATTGATCTTTTCTGTCTGTTTTAGTTTGCTCTCATCAAAGTCACCTTCCAGGCATTCTGATAGTTGCAGTTTAAGTCTATTAATCAACTTACTTGAGTTCGGAAAGACCTTATTACTCCAGTACATTAGAGCCCTCTTGCAATTTGTCAATCTATGGATAAGTTGATCAATTTTACTTTCATCAAGTCCTAAATGAATATTCCAGCTTTCTGACACTATCCTTTTGAAATCTTGATGTTCCATCCAATTGATTTCAAATTTGAAAGTATAAGGAGTTTTAATCCCATTGTAGCATAAATCTATCAGTAGAAGAAAATGATCAGATCCAATAGGTTCCATGTGAAATACCTGGGCTTTTGGAAAGGATTCTTTGAGGGTAGTATTTGCCAGGGCCCGGTCAATTCTTTCTTTGATGTGGGCTTCATTGGTTCTCCTATTGCACCAGGTATATTGAGGTCCGTTATAGCCCATGTCCAGTAATTCGCAATCTGAGATTTGTTTCTGAAAATTCAGAATCTTCCTGACAGCCCTTGGTTTACCTCCCCATTTCTCACTTTGCTCAGTAAGGTCATTAAAATCACCCAAGCACATCCATTCTCCTCTGATGCCATGAGATATTTCTTTAAGTTTTGCCCAGACTCTTTTCTTCTCTATTTCATTCGAGGGACTATAGACACACGTAATGTAATGTGGTACAGGGATAGTGTCAGAGTAGATAGCAGCGTGAATAATGTTTCTAGAAGAATAAAGGATATCAACAATTACATCCTCATTCCACCAGAGAGCCAATCCTCCACTCAAGCCCACCGGGTTCACGATCCAGTCTTCCTCAAAACCACATCTCCTTCTTAACTTCTTGACTACTTTTTCTTTTTGTTTGGTTTCCATAAGGAAAACCAAGTGGGGTTTCTTTCTTCCACAAACCTCCTTCAGGTTCTTTACTGTCAAGGCCACCCCGATGCCTTGACAGTTCCATGAAATCATCCTCATGGGGCCTCGAGGGCTGTTTGAGGCCAGCCACTCGAGCCTTCAGCAAGCATCGAAGCATCAGTAGCATTGATTCCAACTTGGGATGCAAAGATTCCCTCTCTGCCCTTGATACAATCATCAGTGAGGATGGGAGTAGGCACATAAGAAGGGGGAAAGGACAACTTACGACGTAGTTGCTGCTTGGTTCTTCTAACATTTTTCTTCTTGGTAGAGGCCTTCTTCTATGGTTCCTTTTCTTGCTGAATCATAACGGGTGACTCATTCTGCTTTTTCCTCTTCGCACCTTGTGGAGATTCAATTTCAGGTGGGGTGCGTTTTAACTTCACTCCTCCCAACTTGCCTATGACGTCCGAGATTGGTGAGTTGGGCGCATAAGGCACAATAGCTTTAGACATATCAGTGTCGTCTTCAACCAATTCGATCACCGAACCCACTCTTCCCCCAGCTTCCTTTATGATGGGCTCGTGTGACTTTGGGCTGTTGAGTTGCATGCACCTTTTCCGTCTATGTGGGCTTATATTATAAAAGAGTTTCATGGGAGAACCAATAGATAGAGCCATGTGGGTCCCAGATGCGGAGCCCATTTCAACTCCTTCAGCATCTCCCCTCCTAGCGCTTGGTGATTTTCCTGCACAAGGAGTAGACTTCTGATGTGATCTGTTGGTCGTTCTGCCATCGCCGACCTTGCCATTACCCTGTCCAATCTTCCCCGTTCCTTGCTCCACTATGTCAGAGTTACGCGCCTTGTCTTTCAAAGGGACACACGCCTTCTTCTTCGGAGAGTATAGTCTCTCACACCACTGAGGGTCTATCAGCACCATTTGCTCCTCAATGATCTTGGGAGGAGACCCTTTGAGCCAACTTCCAAATTCGGATTCATCACCAATAACTTCCGTATTAGAGCGGCACGATCGCTGTTCGTGACCAATGATTCCGTACTTGTAACAAAAACTTGGGAGGCGCTCATATTTAATCTCTGACCAAACATCCTCTTTATTTTTCCTTGGCACCCAGCAACTGGTTGTCAAGGGGTTACTAATGTTGATAAGTACCCTGGCTCGTAGAAAGTTGCGCAACAATTTTCCTTCTTTCATGGGGTCTTCAACCATTACGACCTCACCCAGAGATGAGCCCATGCGAATGGCGTTCTCTTTGTTCATGTACATAAATGGCAAACCATGGAATTGTACCCAGAAGGGACAGCGATCAAAGGACACTTCTTTATAAATCATCTCCTCATCCCATAGCTGAATGTTCAGTAAATGTGATTGAATGGCCCATGGGCGGCCCCGTAGGACCTTGAGATAATCATCTCTGTTGTCAAATTGGAACACAAAGACATTCTTCTCAATATCTAAAATCTCGACCTCCTCGCTCAAGTTCCACCCCTTCTGCACCATTGAAAATACAGTACCCTTGTGCAGCTCCTTCGCCACCTCCAGCCTTCCGATTAGCGAGCCTCCCAAACTCTTTCTCTTGTTGCATTCCAAAGCAATGGCCTTTCGCGGAACAGAGGCTTGACGACTGCCTTGGCCTTCTTCCATTACCTATTACTAGAACTCACCTCTCACTTTCTTTCACACTCTCACGGGAAGTTACAGTATAAGAAATTGCTTTGTTCTCACCTGCGGACGCAATCGCAAAACACGATCACACCACCACTCACAGTTTCAACCTATCACAGTGGGTGATAGTGAGGATTACTCAATGGGTATAGACGGAAAGACATGATCGAAAAGGACCACCCCAAGGATGGTGAAGGAGCTCTCCCGTACGGAGAGAAAAACGCCTCACCCAAGTAGTGAGAGAAAAATAATGCACTTGACTTAAGTAGGTGTAAAATATTTATAGATCATAGATTACGGGTTTAATATAACATTCAAAATCTACATCTATTTAAATATAAAGTATGCCCCTTGTTACCCACATACCAGGTCTAATCTCGCGTAGATTATATTCACCACAGCCTGAAACTTGAACCCGTGCCCCCTCATCCACATCCGCCTCTGTAATCTTATCCAATGTTTTGAATCCCCAAATAATCTTTCCAAAAACCACATGAAACCTACACAAAGATTCCAAGTAATAGGATTAGTAAATTATACACTTCTACGGATACAATATTTGAAGACCTAACAATATGTATTCACACTCTAGCCACCCATTAGAAGGAGTATAATGGGGTAGAACATAATGCTAAACATATAAACAAACCTGTCCAGACTCGAATCTGGTTTCAAGGTGATTACAAAATGTGATCCGATTCCATAACGATCACAAAGGTTCATGGTTAGAAGGCCCCGTTCATCGTGTTTAAGTCGAGGCATCTCAACTGAAATAAATAACAAAAACAATGTAAATACCTTGTTTGCCAAAATATATACCCAGACAAGTAAGAATTTAAATGGATATTATTGGCATTCTCACTTGGAAAATTTGCATGATAGATACTTTCTCCACAAGTACCTGCAAAAATATTTTTTAAAAAAAATAAGATGCATCAAGTGTAAGAATAGAAAATACATCAAGGGAGGAAAAAAATGAAATTTATAGAAAACTGTGATTAGACTATATGAAACTTATACTTGAAATTAACGCAGATGATGAAAAACTCACTCCAAAATTTATATTCAACTACCATACATAATCCACAGAGTGTTACTCAGATGGATTAAGCTTCAAGCAGTAAAGAAGAGGAAAGAAAATAAGGGAAACACCAACTGAATACAAGAAAGACCTATTAAATGACTCACATTATAACTCATACAATGCATGACCCCAGAAAAAAAAAATGCACATGTTTTCATTTATTTAGTAATTAGTAATAGTAATTGCTACACAAAATGATATGACCAAAAACATGAAATGGACAACTTCAAAAACGTGAAAGTGACTCAATATATTGTGCAAATTACAATGTTGATAAACTAGATAAGTGTGTCATCCCAATTTAAATGCAACAATAGAAAACATACCCCATGGACTGAATAGATCCCCGCCCTGCAAAATGAAAACCAGCTATCATTATAAAGTTGAGATACAACAATGCATACAAAAAGGCTTTGGACATTATGAAACTTATTAGCATCATAAGATGGATAACATGGTAAGCACAACTTAAAACTACATTCCAAGAAAAGCCCTCATGACCATCAACCATATATCCTACAACATAAACAAGGATAATTGACCAAAGAAGGAGTCACTGCTGAGCCATGATCAACTTTAACCACAACATGATGGATAGATCGACAATACAAGAGAATGATCTTTAGAGGTAACAAGAGTTAAAAAATATACCTTCACATAGGAGATGTCGCTCAGAATCTGATAGAAGAAAGAGCTCTTGTAACGTAAGGGCAAACCTGTTTTTGGCCCAATTTCCTTTTCACCTGAACAAAGAGGAAAACTAAATGAGAGGTGGGGAACATATATCATAAGCCATAAAATCTAAATACATTAGCATGTCCAAGGTCTTGTTCAATTAGTCAGAAATTTTCTGCAGCTGCAGGTGCAACATCTTTGAACAGCTGCACAGACGAAAGAATTTATTAAGTTGCAAAATCCACAAAAACAAAAAGTTTCATCATGTCTCACAATAATCATTGTAATCCAAAAGTATTGGAAAGAAAACCGGTACCTCAAAAATCATCCGTCCAACATACACATTGTCTACAGAGACATCCATATAAACTAGGGGATTCTTCTTCTCTGCCATTGTCTTTCTATTTTTGAATCAGAACTCAAGCCAACAACCACTAAAGTCACAGAATTCAACAAAGGGTCACCAATTAATTATTAAGTAGTATTACATATGAAGAAGACGCTGATACTAGCTATAACCTGATTTTTTTATTTAAATTTCCATTCAACAATTGGAGCACAAGCCTCACTGTAAAATTCTAACTAAGAAGGTGATAGGAACCAAGTAGAAGATAGGGAATAAACAAAAATCTGAAGGATAATTAATAGATAAAAATCTATTAAGAAAGATGTAAGCAAGAATCTCACTTAGATGATCTCAATAGCCAATAGAGGAGAATCTACAATTTGAAATGTTTATTTCTCAATATCCCACCATAATCCAAAGCTAGGATATTTATAGGAATTAAATACAACGGAAATAAAATCAGAATCCCTAAAACTAAGGAAACTATCAAAACAGAATTGGATTCACGTTGAGGACCTGATAAGATAATGGTCCGGTTATTTCTCAACAACTCCTAAGCAATTAAAATAAAAATATTCCAGCAATTAATAATGAATATATTTTTTACTAGGTCAGCATAACCAAATGGGATTTATCTATTTCCTTCTCTGATGCTGACTAGGATTAGGATTCATATCATTACTCCCTCCCTGGAAAGACGACTTGTCCTCAAGTCGGGAATGTGCAGCCTCCTGTTCAGATTGCTTCCCTTTTGAGTTTTTAGGAGGTCGGTAAGTCAAAAGCTCTAACAGTAGCAGACTTTGGAATTGAGCCGGTGGATTAGCCTCTGAAATAACTCCCTGAAGCTTGTACTCTTTGCCATTTACCCAGAAAACCATGAACATCTCGTTCCAATTGGTTTGGATGGTGTTCAGTGAGGCCAACCATTTAATGCCCAGGACGAGATCAGTGCCTCTTAATGTGAATGGGAAATAATCCTGTTTAATAACTAAATCAGAAATTTTTACCTCTAAGTCTGGGCAGACTCGATTACATTTCACCACCCTTCCATCCCCTGTTTGAACACCAAATGAGCTTGTTACACGAGAAGGTAGTTGCAAGTCCGAAACTAATGATTCTGAGATGAAGTTGTGTTTGCCATTGCTGTGGTAGTATGATCACGAGCAAAATTGCTCGCTGGACCATAAGTAAGGGACCGACTTGGCGCTATGGATGGACTGGGCTTGGGCCCATGGGCAAGCAACAATTTTTTTAAATTCTATGGCTAAACTGGCAGCCCTATACACTGTGCGAGGCTTCTGAATTCGTACATCAGATTTTAATTCTTCCTTCAATCCGTTGATGAAAACAGCAAGAAGACAATGTTCTGGCCAGCGCTCAACTCGGGCAACTCGTTTTGCAAATTCTTAGCGATACTCTTGTACGCTACCTGTTTGCTTGATGCTACAAAAGTGCTCATCGGGGTTTTGATACTCCGGTGTGTTGCCCCTGCCTCGTCCGTCGTGTAGAGTGGTGTCCTGTCCCTGCGTCATGAAAGAAAGACAATGACAGAGGACAAGAAATTCCCTGTTTTTATGGATGTCCGTATATATGAGCGCCCCCATCAAAGGATGGTTTTTGAGGTATTTGAAGTTTTTATCTTTTGAATTTTGCAATTTTGACTATGAGAGTAAAAATGGAACCTAATGAATTCTTTTGTCCTCCCAGCTATTCTATGACATTGCCCCCTTCACTGCAGAAAACTTCCGTGCTCTATGTACAGGTAATAATCTGATTTCGTTAATATCCCCCTAGCAGAACCTTCCTGTATTGCAATTACAGTCTCACTAATTGAACGAGCCCTTGGATGTGCTAATTCATTTTGATTTTATGGTTTATGATATGACTTCCCCATTCCTCATTTAATCTTCTTTCTTTTTAGGAGAAAAGGGAGTCAGTCCAAAAACTAGGAAGCGTCTGCGTTACCCAAATACTTTCTTTCAGAAGGTTAGGAAAGGTGGCTCCTATGTGAAAGTATGTACTGGTAGAATTTTGAGCGTGTACTTTCTGAATTGTCCATCTCATGATACTAACTAGGCTTTTTTAATTTCCAAAACCGTTTTCTTTGCCACTTGCCATCGAGACTATGGACTTATAGCTACTTTTCCTTTTGCAGGGGGGTGTTTTCGGTTGGGAAACTAGTAAGTTTTCTATTGATGCATTGACCTTAGCATGGCACACTTCACTGCTTTCTTAAGTTTATAATTTGATACGATACATTTACTCACTCACATTTAGTCAATTTCTATCGATGCAATTTCTAACTCTTTCTAATTACTGTCATATATTTTATATTACATTTTGATATACTGATTTTGAGTAGGTTCTGTATCTGCTATTTAAACAGTAAGATTGAATTAAGACTAGCAATTGAGGATTTTAACGTGATCATTTTTCCCCAATTGAAAACGTTGTTACCTAAGATGTATTTCTAAATTAGTGGTTAAATAGTGTATCTGTTTGGAAATCTGAGTTTAACCACTCACTACAATGTAGATGTAAACCGTCAATTTATATAAATTACTGTTTTACTTTTATACAAGTTTTTCATTGAATGATCTTAATTGCAATGTTAATTGCAATTATAAGTTTCATTTGCTCCGATGCCTTGGTTGCTATAATTTTCCAAACTTGCTAATCATTTCTTCTCCTTCCTAGATATAATGTCTACTCTCCCACCTCTACATCTCATTTTTAATCACTTTGCAGGGGAATGTGTAGAAAGTATCTATGGTCCTCATTTCCCAGGTGAGAATGCTAGACCCTGAACTCATACTTTTTAAAAGTTCCCATGATGTTGTTGTCTATTTATTTCGATGAAGAGTTTTAACATTGTGATTTATTTCAGTGCTCGAGTCAAATAACCTCAAGCACGACAAAGAAGGGCTTCTATCCATGCCAATAGGAGATCTAGAAGCATGTCGTTCTCACTTTTTGATCACATTGAAAGCTGATCAAAGCCTTGACAGGTTCATTTATATAACTAACTCTTGTTTTGCTTTTTTCCCCTTTCTCATGACCAGTTGGGTTGTCACTATAAAATTCTCGGTGTGCAAACATTACATTTGTTGAAATTTTTAATATACTAATCCTCTTATTTGGAACTTGTTGCAGTACTCATGTGGTGTTCGGAAAGCTTGTGCAAGGGCTGGCTACATTAAGGGATATTGGAAAGTATTGTTCCAGCATGCCAATTGAAATTATGAATTGTGGCATGTCGTATAATGGTAAACTTCATTCTGACAATTTTAGTTCTGTTAAAGATGATAATAATGTTGCGTGACATCGTCTGAAATATATTTGCAGCTGATTATGTTCCTCCTGGTGTGATTGTGAGGCCTTGTCAGCCTCGAAGAGCAAGTAAAAACCATGCTAAGGGAATGGGAGAAGAGAGGGCAAGAAGGGACATCTCTTCCAAAACCAAAAGGTTCAAAATCTCTTCATAAAACTAGAGTTTCACAAAGATGAAACATGTACCTAAAACACGCCACAAAGATATCATGGGATTCCTCAAGTCCAGCCGAAACATTAGACGAAATTAAGATGGGTGGATATCCTTGCTGCAAATTCTCTTTTAGAAACTATATACATATAGTTAGGATACAAGCGCTGCATTGCCTCTGAATTTTCTTGCTTGTATCGTGGTTAATACAGTACCATTATTTAGGCAACAATGTTACTGCTTCCCAGTCTTTAATAGTTTGCCTGAGGAAATCGTCGAGAGATTTATAGATTCTTGATGCTTGTTTGGTTTAGCATATTAAGGGTTAAGCTCCAGAAAATTCTTTTAACACTCAAATGATGGGATGTCAAATTTATTGATCCAGCAGGATCTGCCTTTCTTCGACAGGTCCGCATATGTTATATATTTCTTAGTAAGTTACTCGTCGATTTTTTTGGTTTTTTAAGTCAATATTATTCTTAATGCTAAGTTGCTAGCCGCTACTGCAGAATGACCTTTTTATCATGAAACTAAAACACTAGCAGACTCACAATAGATTTTTAATCGATGGAAGTTTTCTTAATCCATTTTAAACATTTAGGGAAAAAAATCATGTAAAATAAATCATAGAAGCTGTCCAATAACTAGGTGGAAGGAGAATAATGAAACGTGGAAAATTGATATCGTTTTCCATCAGACAGCTCTTCCAAGCAGCCTCTTAGGGAGTGTTTGGATGAAAACCAAAACATAGTTTTAAAAGTGCTTTTACAGTATACGAGGCAAATATGTGGAGGAATTTGTCTCGTTTAGTGTTTGAAAAACCAAAAGCAAAAAATCTCAGCTCTGTCATTAAAAAGAACAAAACTGTCTCGATTTTTTGGAGATACAGGCTCATATATATAATGAAAGAGGAATGATTTCTGAGGGAAAAATGAAGAAAACTAAGAAATAAGTATTTTTCATGCTGTTTGATCCGGGAGAAATAGCATGGTTTCAATGTAGAGGAACAAGATGAGATGATGAAAGGGTGGCTAGTTTACAGAATTCCTGGCGGAGAAAAGCAATCTCCAATATGATATGGCTAACAAAAAGCATCACTTACTGCCATTTTTTAACTCTGAGAATTGACTTGGAGTTGAGGATTTGGGTTATCTAACTTGTAAAGGGATTGAGAGAACAGAGGAGTGCGTCACTGTGATGATGAGATATACCTAAAAGATTCTCGATCTGTTTCCTTGTGTTGGACTAGACAAGTTTCGCCCTTTCTTTATCTCTTGCTGTTTCTCTCTCTCTCTCTCTCTCATGTTTCATGTCAGAAAATCGTTCAGGAATCATAAAGGAAATAAAAAACTTGTAATGCGGTTCAGTCTGAGAAATTTTTTATAATGCAGAAATGTCAGTATCCTTCCACTTGCTAATACTGAAGCTGCTTCATTTGTTACATGATAACTGTTGTTCTAATCTTTCTGCTGAAGGTTCAAATATTGTCTTGGAATTCGTCCCTTTTCTAGTAATAGCAACGCTAGCATTTCAGGCGATGCATGTGACAACTGACAAGGTCTCGCGGGAGCATTTCGATCTTTGTACTTAATTTTTCAATTATGTGATTCAAAAATCTATAATATTATTTTTATTAAAAATAAATGTTGCATAATTATGACTGAGTGGATGTAAAAAAATTTGGCTTAAGATAACTGTTATACTGATTAGTTGGCCAAGTCTGCCTAGAGTAACGAAAGTAGTCAATACCAAAATTAAAGTAGTTACTGGAATTTTGAAAATAAAAATAATCAATAGCTGATTATATAGAATGAGTTTTGAGAACATCAGAAATAACAAAAAAGAAAAAAACTTGTTTGTTAATTTGTTTCTAATTAGGTGTTTTTAAAAACTAAAAAACTAAAATAATTTTTTAGATGTTTGCTTGTTTTTACTTTTTCCAATTTCTTCTTTTTTAAAAACAATTGAAAAATCATTTCTTCTCTGGTCGATTACTTTCTTCCTATTTGAGTACTAAAGTTATCATCGAAACTTCACTCTCCTATCTCAATGTGTTCATTTTCTGATGTATTTTTTCAGAATAATCATCCAAAACTTTTTTTTTTCAAAACTCATTCTAAAAAATAATTTATAAAATTGTTTTGAGAGCAAAAAATAAAAAAACAAAAACAAACAAGCCCGATATTTTTTTATCTTCCAGAAGAGGGGGTTCATGGTGGAGACTTGATTTTACATCTTGGGATGGATTTCAAGAATGCAGCCAGTGAATCTGGTTGGTTCAAAGCTTGTAAATTCATTTTATGAATTCGGGACATGTTCATCATCGAGTTATGAATAGGTTTTTCTCACAACCAGGACCAATGGAATAATCCTCTGAAGCGGTACTAGCGGTCTCTTTTATTCCCTTTTTCTTCCTTGATCTTCTACTATAGATCTTAATAAATTCAGCAGCTTTATGAGATTAAAACATTTTATTATATTCAGATTATAAGATCTCATTTATATACAAACAAGGACCGCAGGCAGTATTTCTTTACAATGCATAAAAATTATTGTTGATTCGTGAATGAACAACTTGCCACTCTTCTGCCTTCTGAGATCATCAGGTTAAGACAAAACTTAAAATCATGAAAAAGTTGAATATAAAGTACTTTTTCAGTCTTAAATATAAAGTCTATTTTATAGTATAATTTATACTATAAAATGAGTCTTATATTTAAGACCTGAAAAATACATAGCCTGCATCTGCAGCCATGCTAAGTGGAGACCCTGATAATAGACTTTATACTAACGACATGACGCAAATACGATCTAAGGTGAAGAAATGATTGAGAACAAAAAAACAAAAAATAGTTAAAATATATTTTTAGTTTTTTTAATTTTAACTCAATTTTGGTTTAAATTTAAAAAAGCATATTTTTAATTCTTTAAAGTTAACATCATTAACTTTAGGGTTAAGGTGCGCCCAGCACCCCGAACTATCTTCCCAGGTGCACCCAGTGTCCTAAAGTAATTTTCGGTGCATCTAGTGTCCCAAACTAATTAAAACGGTGCATCCATATCCCGGACTAACAGAAAAGTTGAGTTTGACCGTTATTTGCTGACTCAGCAAAAGGTTGACTGACGTGGCGGACACGTAGGCATCTGATGTGTATTATTTTAACGGGCCAAGGTGCGCCCAGCATCCCGAACTATTTTTTTAGGTGCGCCCAGCATCCCGAACTATTTTTTTAGGTGCGCCCAGCACCCCGAACTATTTTTCCAGGTGCGTCCAGTGTCCTAAAGTAATTTTTTTATGTATCCAGTCTCCTAAACTAATTAAAATAGTACGTCCACATCCCAGGCTAACAGAAAAGTCTCGTTTGACCATTACCTTACTGACTTAGCTGAAGATTGACAAGAAAATCCTACATGGCGGACACACAAATGTCTGATGTGTATTATTTTGACTAAAGCTCCCAAGACGAGCCTGGTAGCAACGGGTGTTTTTTCGGATGGCGACGACGATGTCAACGAAGTGACCAGGGAAAAGTTCACTGTGTTCTAGGAGGAGGAAAACAAACGCGAGTCGAATGAGGAGTTGATAGAGACGGAGATGGAAGTGTGTGGTGGAAGAAAGGGGATAAAATCTTAAAGACAAGGATGGGATTGAATGGGTGGTACATCTACCAAGACTTAAGAGGGTGGATCGGTGGTCTTTCTTTTTTTTAAGTTTTAAAACTGGCAGAAGATAAATGTTAGAAGAGGAGGAAATAAATTGAATTTTCAGTCAAAATAATACACATTAGACGCCTGTGTATTCGCCATGTAGGATTTTTCAGTCAATCTTCAGCTGAGTCAGTAAGGTAACGGTCAAACGAGACTTTTCTGTTAGCCTGGAATGTGGACACACCGTTTTAATTAGTTTGGGACACTGGATACATAAAAAATTACTTTAGGGCACTGGGTGCACCTGGAAAAATAGTTTGGGGTGCTGGGCGCACCTAAAAAAATAGTTCGGGGTGCTGGACGCACCTTGGCCCGTCAAAATTATACACATCAGATGCCTACGTGTCCGCCACGTCAGTCAACCTTCTGCTGAGTCAACAAATAACGGTCAAACTTAACTTTTCTGTTAGTCCGGGATATGGATGCACCGTTTTAATTAGTTTGGGACACTGGATACACCGTTTTAATTAGTTTGGGACACTGGATGCATCGAAAATTACTTTAGGACACTGGGTGCACCTGGGAAAATAGTTCGGGGTGCTGAGCGCACCTTAACCCTATATTTTTAGTTTTTTTAACTTTAACTCAAATTTGGTTTAAATTTAAAAAAGCATATTTTTAATTCTTTAAAGTTAACATCATTAACGTTATTAATGGAAAATACTCACTCAGGGATTTCAAATAATAACTCAGTATTTGAATGCCAACATATTAATTTTTAATTTGAAATATGTAAATTAAAAAATATTTAAAATAAAATTTAATTAAAGGTGCCGTCAAATATAGTTATTTCATATGGGTAAATTTTCTAACATGTTCTATACGATTTACCCTTGAATTTTCATGAAATTAAGAATAATATTGGATCTAGTATAAAAGTTAATAATAATACTGATAATTATGATTTTTGAAATTTTTTTAATATAAATTTTAAAGATTAATTAGATAATTTTTCAATGATAAAAAGTAAGGAAAGAAAATTATTTATTTCATAATTATTAAATTTAAAAAAAAAATTTGATAAAAGTAAGTTTTTATTTTGAATATTTTTAATTTAAATATTTTAAATGAAAAATTAATAAGTCAACATTTAAATACTTACACATAATTTTAAAATCATTGAGTCAGTTGTTGAATCAGTGTTTTCTATTAATGAGGTTAACAATATTAAGTTTAAAAAATTAAATAAAACTTAATATAAATTTAAAGGAGTACACGTCTATTTTATTAAAAAGGTTTTAAGAGGATGCGAATCCTAATCCGAATTTTCAATTTTTTTATGTGAAAAAAAAAATGCCACCGCCGGGCGTTACCACCAGTCACCGCTCCAAAGGCCCAAAAGCCACGTCCCAATTCTTTCCCAAAACCTTATCCAATGGCTATCACCGTCTCCTTCCCCTGCTCTCATCCTTCCTGCATCTGTTCTTCCTCCACCCAGAGACGTTTCAGATTCAATCTCCAATCCTCCTCACAGCTTTCCCCCACCACAACCCTTCCTCTTCAAAGCCCTTCCCTTCCCAAAACTGGTGTCATCGTCATCGGAGCCGGTCTCGCCGGCTTAGCTGCCGCCACCCACCTCAACTCTCACAGCATTCCCTTCCTCCTCCTCGATGCTTCTGACGCCGTCGGCGGTCGCGTCCGTACTGATTCCGTTGATGGCTTTCTTCTCGACCGCGGATTCCAAATCTTCATCACTGCTTATCCTGAAGCCCGAAAGATTCTCAATTATGAAAGCCTCGACCTCCAGAGGTTCTATTCAGGAGCTCGGATTTTCTACAATGGCGAATTCCACACCGTTGCGGACCCTCTTCGCCATTTCTGGGACTCCGCCAGATCCCTAGCGAATCCTATCGGTTCAGTCGTCGACAAATTACTCATCGGCGCCACGAGAGTCCAGGTATTGACCAAATCCGATGAAGAGATTTTGAGTGCTGATGAATCAACCACGATTGATTTGTTAAAGCAGATAGGGTTCTCTGATTCCGTCATCGGGAGATTTTTCCGGCCATTTTTCGGCGGAATCTTTTTCGACAGAGAGCTCGAAACGACTTCCAGGTTGTTTAATTTCATCTTCAAGTGTCTTGCTCTCGGCGACAATACTATTCCGGCCAAGGGCATATCGGCCATTCCAGAACAACTTGCTTCCAGGTTGCCTTCCGGTTCAATCTTGTTCAACTCGAAAGTAACTTCAATCAATCTTGATGAATCCGAATCGCCGTCTGTAACATTACAGAACGGAGAAGTTGTGAGGAGTGAGCTAGGAGTGATTCTGGCGGTTGAAGAACCGGAAGCTGTCAAGTTGTTGGCGGGAAGGGGCGGTCCGGCTCCGAAGACCCCGGTTCGGAGCACTGCTTGTTTGTATTTCAAAGCAGACCGAGATCAAATCCCGGTTAAAGATCCGGTTCTGTTCCTGAATGGGTCGGGTAAAGGAATAGTGAATAACATGTTTTTCGCAACCAATGTGGCTCCATCATACGGCCCGCCCGACAAGGCTTTGATATCCGTAACACTAATCGGGTCGTATGAGGACGTGTCTGATGAAGACTTAGCGGCTCAAGTTGTGGAAGAACTTTCGAGTTGGTTTGGGGAGAAAACGGTTCGGGCATGGGAGCACTTGAGAACTTACAGGGTCGGGTTTGCTCAGCCCAATCAAAGGCCTCCCACGAATTTAAAGAAGGATCAGAGAATCAGGTCGGGTTTATATATCTGTGGGGATTATGTGATCTCAGCCACGTTCGATGGTGCTTTGGTCTCAGGAAGAAGAGCTGCAGAAGCTTTATTGAAGGATAAAGCATTAGCTCCACCATAAAAGTAATGTATTTCAATTGATAAAATATTTTTCTGGAAAAAAAAATTATATAATTCGTTTTTTCATGAAGAGAAATTTAAAACATTCTAAAATACTTTTTCACTTGATTTGATCTCTCGTGATAATTACTATTCATGAATCATAAAAATTCATATCATCCGGCATCCGGTTCAAGCACAAAAAAAGGGAAGATCTACCTGAACTAATCTCAAATGGCGTGGGAAAAGGAATTCTGCCGCAGGTAGGGTCTAGGATGATAAAGCTTACCCAGGTCCCGGGTTTTCAGATCATGCTTCTAATTAAAGCGTGAAATTAAACAGAATAATGCAGCTGATAATAATTAAATATTTCACTTATAACTATGTGATTTTGTTTAATATGTTGGGACTGTTCTTAGGCTGTTCTGGTGCTGGCGGCAACACAAGTTCTGGTGCGCTCATCTGTTCATTTCACTTATTATTTTCATATCCCAGTTTTATTATTTTGGCGTTACTAAAATTAAAAAATAATATGAAATGAAATAGGATTTCTCGCTTAATTAATGAGTCCAGGGTATAAATTACTAAAACCTCAAGTTCATAACAAACAACAAAACTACAACAACCAAGGCCCATTTGGTATGATGGAATTGATTTTAATGGAAATAGAAATGAATATGGATATGAAAATGAGATTTTAAAACACGTAATACTCATAATTTTTAATTAAAATATATTCTTAAATGTCTAAATACTAAAATACCCCATAACTTTTAAAAAAGAAACAAAAAAGATAGAATTCTATGGAATTTTTAGAAATTCCATGCGTCGGCCTATGGAATTCAATTCAGCCATTACTGATTGAAATCAACTCCAATGCGTAATTTAGATATGACATACCAAACAATCATGTAACATGAATTTCAATTCCTATTCCATTTCTAGTCCAGATTTCCATTCCAATTTCAATTCTAACCCACCAATTCCAGCATACCAAACGAAGCATAAAGAAACTATGAGAAACGCAAAACAACTGACAGAAACAAAATCGAAAAACAGCAGAATCACTCAGCCTCTACCACCACGTCTTTCAGATATCTCTGTCATCAAGGCTCAGTTGAAGTGATGAATCCTAGATTTGACCAAAATGTTTTGGCCAATTTTTTTTTTTTTAAATTATAAGAATCATCATATAATAGGTTGCTATTTTTGCAATCCATATTTTTTTCCCTAACCAAGAATCATCAAATAAGTAGAATGATAAAACAAATGTGGTTCACCATGCAAAACTTATCATAGCAATAACTATACAACATATGCACTGTGAAGCAGGAGCTGCAATATTTGACATGGAATATGCCAAAAGCTTATCATTTATTTCTCACTTCTTTTGTTCCTTTTCTTCTTTTCCCTTCTCTTTTTTTCTTCCTTTTCTTTTTTTTTTCTTTTTTCTCCTGCAAAATAAAAGAGAGGGAGTAGTTTCATAGAATCACTTCCTATAATAAGAATTAAATTTAAAGAGAAAAGTAATTAAAATAATATAAATAAGTGTAAAATATTTACAAATTACAGATTATAGTTTTAATATAATAAATTCAAAATCTAAACCTATATAAATAAAAAATTGCACTTATCACCCACATACCAATTCTAGCATATTCACCACAATCTGAGACTTGAACTGTTGCCCCCTCACCCACAGGCGCCTCTGTAATCTTATCCAATGTTTTGAATCCCCGAATAATCTTTCCAAAAACCACATGAAACCTATACAAAGATTTCACATAATAGGATTGGTAAATTATATACTTCTACATATGAAATATTTGAAGACCAGGCAATCTGTATTCACACCCCAGCCACCCATTAGAAAGGGAAAAACAAGATAGAACATAATGCTAAACATATAAACAAACCTGTCAAGACCCGAATCTGGTTTCAGTGTGATTACAAAATGTGACCCAATTCCATAACGATCAGCAATGTTCATGGTAAGAAGTCCTCGTTCATCATGTTTAAGTATAGGCATCTCATCTGAAATAATTAAATAAATCACAAGAACAATGTAAATATCCTGTTTACCAAAATATATACCCAGACATTTTGAGCTGTCTTTGAGAAGAAAATATTTTAAATTATTGCATTCTATGTAGTAAGAACTTAAATGGATATTATTGGCATTCTCACTCGGGAAATTTACACCATAGATGCTTTCCCCACAAGTACCTGCAAAAATATTTTTAAAAAAATGAGATGCATGAGGTGTACAAATAGAAAATACATAAAGGGAGAAAAAATTGAAATTTATAGAAAATTGAGCATTGGACCACAAACTTATACTTGAAATTAGTGCAAACGATGAAAAACTCACTCTAAATATTCAACTCCAAACATAGTCCACAAAGTATTACCTAACTGGATTAAGCTTCAAATAGTGAAGAAAAGGAAAGAAAAGAAGGGAAAAGGATCAACTGAATACAACAAAGACCTATTAAATGACTTATATATACACAGATTCACATCATAACTCATGGAAGGCATGATAAAAAGAATGAATATGTTTTTATTTAATTAATAATAGTAACAACTACACAAGATGGTATGACCAAAAACATGATATGGACAACTTCAAAAACGTGAAAGTGACTAAATGTATTGTATCAAACTACAATCTTGAAAAACATACCATTCCGACCGCCCAAATCCCCACCCTGCGAAATGAAAACCAGCTATAATTATAAAGTTAAAGATACCACAATGCATAAAAACAGCTTTGGACATTATGGAACTTATTAGCATTATAAGATGGATAACTTAGCAAGTACAAGCTTAAAACTACTTCTCAAGAAAAGCACTCATGATCATCAACCATGTATCCTACACCATAAACAAGGATAATAGACTAAAGAAGGAGTCACTACAGAGCCATGATCAACTTCAACCACAACATGATGGGTAGCTCTACAATACAAGAGAATGATCTTAGAGGTAAAAAGAGTAAAAGATATAACTTCACATAGGAGATATCCCTCCGAAACCGATAGAAGAAAGAACCCTTGTAATGTAGGGGCAAACCTGTTTTTGGCCCAATTCCCTTCTCACCTAAACAGAGGAAAACTAGGTGAGAAATGGGGAACATGTACCATAAGTCATAAAATCTAAATGCATTAGCATGTCCAAGAGCTCCTTCAATTAGTCAGTTACTCAGTTATACTAAGGGTAAAAACCATCAAATTATTACCAGTACATAAAACACGAAAATTTTCTGCAGTTGCAGGGGCAACATCTTCGAACAGCTGAACGAACGAAAGAATTCATTAGGTTGCAAAATCCACAAAAACAAAAAACTTCATCATGTATCACAATAATTATTGTAATTCAAAAGTATTGGAAAGAAAACCAGTACCTCAAAAATCATCCTTCCAACGTACACCTTATCTACAGAGACATTCATATAAACCCGGGGATTCTTCTTCTTTGCCATTCTCTCTGGTTTTTTTGTTTGGAGTCAGAAATCAGGCCAACAACCACTGAAGTCACAGAAGTCAGCAAAGGGACATCAATTAATTATTGATATCAAGTAGTATTGCATAAGACGCTAATACGAGCACACATTATAACATGACTTTTTTATTCAGATTTCCATTCAACAATTGGAGCACAATGCTCACCGTGAAATTCTAACTGAAAGGAAAAAAACATATCGTATGCAACATTGCTATTGTCCCCACACACATTTTCTTGGACACTATTGGGTATAACGATCTCAAAATACTCTTCTTTTCCGCTTAATCTCAAATACATTCAATAAACATAAACTACAAAGACACAAAAAATACACAGAAAAGGTAAAAAAAGTAATTAGATGAAATAAAGGAAGAAAGAAAAGTGACAAAATTGGACTTGTAATATTAAAAGCAGAATGAGAGCTAATAATCAGAAGCAGGGGGCTGTATTCTGCAAAAACACTGTCAACATTAGGTTTACCAGTAAGCTAATAAAGCTTCGCGATCAGAGGGAATCAGGTAATCATGAGGTGTATATTAAATAAAAGTAAAAGGGGCGTAGAAAAACTCATTACATCAGAATGAAAGCAGAAGAACCGAGATTCAAGTGTCAAAGTTGTGTGGCATCGGAAACAGGGGGAAGGGGCGACGAGCTGAGGACCGTCGTCCGTCAAGCGTTGCGTCCGAGTGAAGGAGAGGAGAGCCCCCGAACTCGAGCCTCGCTGTGAGTAACTGAGTAAGGTGAGAGTCCAGAGAGTGGCGGAGAGGACGGTGCGAGCGCGACCTCGTAGGCGTCGAACAGAGAGGAGGCCGGAGGCACAGAGGCCGAGAGAGAGGCCAGGAGGACGGGCCGAGAGGGTCAGCGGGAGGAAGGGCGCGGGTTTTTGCCGTACAACTCTCGCTCACTCACCTTATTTGGGACTATTTAAAATTAAAAACAAATAAATTGTAATTTTACCATGATTTTTAATTTAACCCCTGATTTTTAGGTTAAAATTGCACTAGAAAAAACCTAAAAAATAAAATCATAAATAAAATTACAGGTTGCGGAAGATATGAAAATAGTCAAATTTGCTAGATATTATTAGATGCTGTAGAATACCATGACGACTGAGAAAAGATATTGATATCTCTTGATTTTGAAAAAAAATTATTAATTACATAAATGTCATGGTAAATAAATAATGTGGCGTGATTTTTTTGTCTCAATCCTCGTTCTCCTTTGAAACTCATCACTGGCGTATCAGAAACTTTTAAATCAAAGTCATGATCTAATTAACTCAAATTAAACATCATAGAAACTCATCTTACTCATTGCTTTTTGCAGAAAAAATCTTACTCAGTTCTGTCATATGCCTTGTTTACGTCTCACTTCATTGTAACTTCCCAATTTGTACCCTTCCTTTTATTTTTCAAATGATGAAAAGCTTCATGTGTAACTATTATATTATCTTGAATTAATCCTTCAGTAATAAAAGCCATTTGATGAGGAGAATTATTCATCAAACCTCTCTCAGCCTTAGTCATGATTATCTTTGAGCAATGATTTTGTACACTACATTGCATAATTAATTCAATGGATTTAGAAGGACTCACGCTCTTAGGTTTATCTACTTTTGGTTTAAAAGGGCCATGCTGGTCTTACTAATATCAGTAATATCAGCACAATCATGAAAACAAGCAAATCACCATTTGACAAAAACCTCATCTTTTAACTTCCTCCCAAGATGCTTATAGTCAAAAAGAGCAAAGAAATCATTAGGGCTAGGTGCTTTATCGGCCCTTATCTTAAAGATAGCCGAACACCCTTAACATAAATTACTGTCTGTTCTTAATATAATAGCTAATTGACTAATTTGAGTAGAATAAAAAAATAAGTTAAGTTAGTTTTTTGTAATAAATAGATTAATGTTGTCTTTTCTAAAATACCTTTAGTAATCACATGCATTTGTAAGAACTACCATTTGATAAAACATTTAACATATGCAACTACTATAAGAATTACTTAGTTAGTGAAAAATAGGTAAATATGAGAAACAAAATAGATTAGATTGTTATATTTAGAATAAAACTGAATATCAAATTAGCTCTTATATTAAAAATCAGAAAGAATATATGATAAGGCTTCATCAAAGTTCCTCTAAACAATTTAGAGGAAAATTATTTATATCTCCCGCATCATGTTATTTTAAAAAAGGTCTCTTTTATTTTGTGTTTCATAGCAACTCATAGGTTACTTAGTGAATATCCACATGACATTGCACAGTAACCCTGACTAACAGATTATGAGTATAGAGACAAATGCTCATAATTGACAAAATTATAAAGATCGATCGAATGAAAAGGAGAAAATTACAAGAATCTTACTAGAAATAAGATAAATAAGGACCAATGAATTAATTTTTCCACTTTTTAAAAAGACAAAATAAAAGAAAAGGACACAAGACTACATAACATTACGAACCTTGATTAGTGATAGGGATGAAAGTTAATAGCAAGGATTTCACAGTCGCTAGATGGGACACACATGACATAGCCCCAACAACAAATTAACGAAAAACATGGCTTTTATGAGGATAATATGTGGTCACTTCATCAAAAAATAGGTGGATAACATGCTTCCAATCTCTATTATTGATCTCGTGAACATTTAAAGATCGGTATGCTTCAGCTTTGGTAGGCATGTACTAAAAGATTTAAAGAATGTATTTTTTGTCTCTTGAGTAATCCTTAAGTATGTTTCACCAACTATTATCATTCATAAAAGTCTTCGCTTGTCAAATCCTTTGAATATTCGACATCTCTTTTCTTTTTTTAATCAATTACAAATGATTTATTTTGAGTTGGTTTTTATTAGTGAATTAATTTATATGGTGTAAATTTACCCAAGAGAATCTATTGCACTAATTAACTGCAATTATGCTTCTTCAATTGTCTGAATCCGACGTCAGAAGTCAATTTAGTATTTCACAAAATATAATTTTTATCATTATATTGGTGTTAATATAATTGTTGATTTAGGTCCTAATTAACAAGACTGTCCTTTCACCTTTTTCAGTCACTCCCAAATTTCATGCCATACACGTCAAGCATGCCGTTGCCGGGAAACAGGGTTTCCAACTTTAAGCTCTGTACTACATGGCCTGATGGAAGAAAGCTTGATGATGATGATCATAATAATAATAATAATAATAATAATAATAATAATAAAAGTTTGACCGATGTTATTGATGATCGATACTACTACTAATTTTTTGATTGTGCGCGCGGCAATTGTATAAAGAGGATAAAAATGTGAACAATTAATAAAAAACAATATATATAGTTTTGAACGTTTAATGTTAATTAATTAGCTTAAAGTTTTCTACAATATACTCCTCCGGTCCTTAATATAGGATCCAATTATTGAGTTGGTTTAGGTCCTAAATATAAGACTCATTTCTCATATTTATCAATTTTCTCTAAATTATCCCTATGGATACTCCCTCAACCATAATCAAGTAGAAGAGGAAAAGGGGTATTAAAACAGATGATTATGATATTTTAGGAAAAACGTGTCACATTTCTTATAATTAACTAACTTACCTAACTTCCTTAATCTAATCAAATTAGTTAAATGGGTCTTATATTAAGGACCAGAGGAGTACTACCTTTAATCCTAAATATAAGATCTAGTTAACTAAATTTAAGTAGATTACAAAAATTAGTTAATTATTTATAATAAATAAGTGTTATCTTCCTTAAAATACTTCTGCTAGTAGTGTATATTAACTAGAACTATCATTTGATGAAATATTTAATATGTACAAATATTATAAGGACCATCTTAAAAATAAATAAATAAATATGAGAGATAAAATTGATTGCGATCTTATACTTAGGATCATATTGAGTGTCAAACTAGCTCTTATATTAAAAATCGAAAGTAGTATATATTTTTGCAATTCATTTTTTAATAGAATTTTTTAAAATTGTCATAAATTAAAGTTAATTTTTGGTTCTAAATATATGTTTCCTAAATCACATTGATTTAACTCTTCCTTGTAATATAAACCTTTCCAATATACATAATAAGTAAATTTTAATTCCCATGCGCGCATACAGGCAACATGTAATTCAATAAATATACCAGTAAATTCATTCCAGTTAGAATTTGATTTGTGTATTGCTATTATTAAGTTTAAGGTAAACTGTGTTTATGAATTATATATTGTGAAATATAGGATGATTCTCTAAATTTTTTATATTTTAAATTGGTGATATTCATAACTCTAAAAGAATATATTTGAAGTACTGAAAAAAAAAATCATATTATCTTTTGAAAAAAAATAAAATTCGTTAATGAATGGGGTCAAACATTAGTTTAATATATGATGGAAGCTTTACGTCCACCAACATATACAAGAAAACAAGAACAATCCTAATATTTCGCTCAATTCCACGGCCACTTTTTCAATCCGAAGAGGCCAAGTTTGCATAGTGCTCCTATTAGTTTCAATTCTTAATATATCGTATATTTTGTAGTGCAATTTTACACTATAAAATAAGTTTTATATTAAAAATTAGAGAAAATAAATTGATCCAAATTCACATATAATCTCATGAAATTGTGATTGAGTAGTGGCAAAAATTGTTGATATAATAACACCATGACAAACATCTCAAAACGAGTCTTTCTTAGTTTTAACCCTAATTGTAACCCCTCCTTAATGCCTCCTCCCAAACATGGCCCAAAATCGTAAAAGTAAAAGAGCGTAGAGTAACTGAATAAAACAAAAGGTCATCATATATTTGTCTAATTCTTTTTAAAAAATGAACAAACTACGATAATTGCTCATTATTACGAAGGATACACAGATGGGTACACTCCTAAAGGCGGGTCCCCCGGGCTCAATTGGTCCCTGACCAAACCAACCCCCTTCTAGGTGCCACGTGTACGACAGCAAGCGGGTGATGTCAGCATGAAGTGTGATGTGATGATCTCTCACTCTATCAATTTTCTTTTGGTAGAACATTCCGAGCTCCGAAAAATAAATATAATTACAAAAAATTTGTTCTTATATGAGTATATATAAGTATATGTTGCTCAATTGTTGTAATATTTTTTAGTATTATATTCTTTCTTTAAAACCTTCTATTACCTCAGGTCTTAATTATAAAATCCTTTTTCTAGACTATAAATAGAGTCTTATACTTAGGACAGGAAGTAGTAGTAATTATTTTCCCTTTTTGTTTATTCTTTTTTTCAAAATTAAATTAATCCTTCCTTATTTTCATGAAAACAAATTATGAACTCAATGCGTAACCTCTTCGCACATGTCTTTGCTGTATCACCATCTTCCTATCCAATCAAAGACATTTTTAATATTTTCTTTTCAGAATAATTTTGTACCAACATGTGATCAACACCTATATATATAATATATTTCCTCTCCTTCTTACCCTCTCCCTTTCTATAAATACCATTGCTTACAAACCAAAAACTTGACACTACTATCTCCATCCTCTTCATCGATCATCGTCGATTTTTGCAGCTTAATTCTGTGATCTCTCTTCATCAATGGCAGATAACACAGTGAATCTTCCTCCTGGATTTAGATTCTATCCAACTGATGAAGAACTGATCGTTCATTTCCTTCACAGGAAAGCTTCGCTCCTACCTTGCCATCCTGATGTCATCCCTGACCTTGAGCTCTATCCCTACGATCCATGGGACCTCCAAGGTATAGAAGTATAACTGCTTTTTCCTTCAGTTCTTCGTCCTTTTCGATCTTTTTCTTTAATTCAAAGGAAGAATCTCGTCAGAACAAAGTTTGTGTACTGTTTGTAGGGAAGGCTCTAGGGGAGGGAAACCAATGGTATTACTATAGCAGGAGGACTCAGAATAGGGTTACAGTGAATGGGTATTGGAAAGCAATGGGAATGGAAGAGGCAGTAATTGCAGCAAGCAGTAATAAGAGAGTTGGAATGAAGAAATATTTTGTGTTTTTTGAAGGAGAACATCCCAATTCCGGCATTAAAACCAACTGGGTAATGCAAGAGTATCGTCTTTCAGATTCTTCTTCTTCCTCCTCTAGCAGATCGCCATCGTCATCGTCCTCAAGAAGAAAATCTCAACCAAAACCAGTGAGTGTGTAGATATATATATATGTATACTTATAGTTATATAACAGTACGCGGGGGTTTTACTGATTGAACTCGATCTATATAGTACTTTTCCCTGATGCTTTATCTTTTGTTTGATTGTGAGCAGGATTACAGAAAGTGGGTGATTTGTCGAGTTTATGAACGGGATAATGATGATGACGATGAAGATGGTGGTGATAATGGAATAGAACTGTCTTGTTTGGATGAAGTGTTCTTGTCAATGGATGATCTTGAAGAAATAAGCTTACCAGTTAGTTAGCATGCAAGAACTGAATCTATGTGTACTGATTACTTCTTTGCAAAATTTCATTACAAATTTCAGGACAAGAGAGACAAAGGGGGAGATTAAATCTCATTCCATATCAGCTTTTCTCCTAACCTTGATCCTCTGTTAGCTTTAATTGTAATTATAACATAACTCACATGTATCTTTCGAGATATGAATTTTCTTCATAGTTTCTCTCAATACATATCTTCATATAAATATAATCACATGCTTACATTTAACTAATTATTCATTGTCAATTACCTTGTAACTTAGTGGCGTGAGAGTTTCCTGTAAGTAAGAACTTATTAGTTTGATCCGGTTTATAATCTTAAACACCTTAACAAAATTTTTATGCTCATATATATTATCTAGCCATGTAAATTATATTAACCAAATGGTACTGCTCTAGTGTTTTTGTTTTATTAGAACCAAGAAAAATCTTAAATCCTATTAATTCTGTATTAAATTTTAATAATTTTTCAACTTTATCCTTTTTTAACATTTGTACTTTATAAGAAAATAATAGTTTACAGAATAATAAAGTAAGCATAAAATTATACATCTACATAATAAATTTAATGAGGTGACTTTTATATATATTAACAACACAGATATTCTCTTTGTGCTTTATAAATAAGATGAAATGTGTAATTTGTTGTGATTAATTATTAAAAGATCACAATATGTAGGCAGCTAGGTGCCATTGGTAGATGGGATAGGTTGTGGTAGCTAAATGATCTCAAGAAAGAACCCATGAAGTGGGGCACTACGTGGGATTCAGAGCCAAACAATGTGCTCTTTTTTATGTCCTTATGCTTTTGACACAGATCCATTTCACTACCCACACACACAATCACTTCAAAAATTTTATTCTCCTAGTTTTTTTGCGCGGTGGTTCATGTGGGTATTATCACATTACATGTTATTAGAAATTTGCAATATAAACTTTTGATATACCTTTTCCCCTTGACATTTAATGAGTCTTGGCAACTTTGAATCTCTGCAGCATTGTTTAGTTAAGTAGTATGGCATGGAAGTTTGGTACGCTTCCGAACCTCGATTCACTAAAAAACAACATAATAATAACATGATGTATAAAATATAAACTTATAATTAAAAATATACTATTTATAAATTATAAATAATGTGATTTTTGTCAAACTCATATAAAGCATAAGACCCATTCATATATATACATATATATTGAAATTTATAACTATTTACATTATTTCATCAAACTCTCTACAAAGTATAAGTGTATGCAAACTTGATGATAAATTTTAGGAAAAAAATTAATGATTTAGTATCCATAATTTTTTTAATTTGATCAAAGATTTTTTTTAATGCTTAAAGTGTAAAGGTTTCTGTCTCTTTAACAAGTACGTTTTCTGAAATTTGAACTTATTTTTTTTCCCTTACAAGTAGAAAACCGCTTACCACCTCGACCAATAGCTTGTTGATTAGTATCCATAGTTTTTGATTCAGTTTGAAATTTAATTTAGTCTTGAGACTAGATACATAATTTTTTCTGAAAGTGCAGAGACAAACAAATTTTTTTTTCTTGGTCAAAAACAGAGACAAACAAATTAAATGGCTAAAACTCGAAGAATTAGTTGCTAGATAAATTAAATTTCAGAGTCAAGTTAAAACTATAAAAACTAAATAATTAATTTTTGCCTAAATTTTACTTAGTTAAAATTTTTGGCTATATGCTTAAAATTTATTAAAAAGATTTATATCATTCATTTTGATTCATTGAATAATGTCTTTTTATCTTGTTTTTAGATCCAAACATTTAAATGGCATCATTTAATTATTTAATGAAGCGGATTGACATTGACATGCATGATAATAGACTATAAATTAAAATAAATACTAAAAGTTCTTTTGACAAATTTAAATTAAAAATTTCAGATTGCATTGAATCTGCAAAAGTTTAATTGTTTTTAATGTAATCTTTCAAGAGAGAAGGGGTTTAGTGGAGTCGATATAGATGGAGCACGGCAAGGAAGCTTTGGAACTGAGAATTATATAATAGCAATAAATTTTATATTTCTAGAGTTATTATGAAGCTTTTTGTAGCTTTTTGTCTACTTCGATGTTATTTGGTCCTTGTCTTGTGTCACACTGCTAACGAAACATTTATCTTTTTCCCTTTTCCTTTTCATAACGTGAGTGAATGCTTAGGGAAGCATCAAGTCATGTGTGATGCAAGCACCTATTTGTATGTTTGATTGAAACACACTGTCACATATGCACCATATATTTATATTCGAATCATCAGTTAAAAAAAAAACATTACCCCTTCCATCTTAAATTAGTTATTTTGTAAAAAAAAAAAAGCCTCAGTTTCCTTAAATTACATTGGTTAATCATTTGTATTGTAATAATAAAAACTTCCTTAATATGTGCAATTAACATAGATAATTTAAAACGCAAGAGTGCTTGATCTAATGATGGATCAGCCATATCACAAAATAGTAGAAGTCGAAAAAATGGGCTAAGCCGGTTAGGCCGACCCGTTTAAGCCCGTTTAAGTCAAGGACTGAGCTTATATTTTGGAGCATTGAAAGGAAAATCAGGCTTAAAAAGGCTAGTCCTGTGGGGTTGAAAAATAAACGGGCTGGCCCGTTCAAGCCCGCCAATTTTTTTTTAATTTCTATATTTTTTTCTTAACTTAAAAAAAGAAACCCTAACACTTTAAACATAACATACTCTTAGTTTTACTTATCCTAGCCACTCACACAGATAGCATTCACCAAAAAAAAAAAAAGAATCACTATAGTTGTGGGAAAAATAACCAAAAAAAAAGTAAAAATTATAAAATTTAAAACTAGGTATATTCACAAAAATATATCATTATTTATAAGTTGTCAAAACCTGTTAAAAAACTGTATGTATAATTTTTACGGTCTTTATTTGTCATTCTTCCATATTTTTTATACTTGAAATAAAATTAATCAAAAAATCTTTTGAATTAAAATAAAGATCTATATCATTTTTATAGTTAGAAACAAATCTAGAACTAAGAGAACTAGGTATATTCATAAAAATGGACTCTTTTCTTTTCTTTCGGTAAGACAAATGATTATTCTTTATGTATACTATGTTTGTTAGTTAAACTTTTTTGTTAATTATTTATAATTAAACCAGATCATTCACATTGTAATTATTTATTGAACTTAGTGCTTATTTAGTTATTTATGTCTGTCCTCTATTTAGTTTGTTTATTCGATAGACTCTATTACACTGTTATATATGTTTAGACATAATGATGTTTATATTTGTGGCTCAATTTTATTTATATTTATATATTTTATCAGTAATTTTATTGTTTCATTTTTATTATTTTGATAAAATATGCAAAACAAATTTTAAAAATTTCATTTTAGTTAAAAGGACTAAAAGCTTGTGGGCTGACCCAAGTTCGTCATACTTAGAAAAATAGTTTATTTTTGGGACTCGGACTTAAACGGGCCGGCCTTATAGGGTTGGGCCAGCCCATTTTCCCAGTACTAAAAAGTAGGCTAACAGAGGACATAGATTAGCAGGTTGTCTAGCCCAACATGTGATAAAAAATACAGTTTGGAAAAAATTATAAATTTAAGAGACTGTGTGAATTCAAGTATTATATTCATAACCAAAGAAAATCCCTTAACTAGCTTATAAATACACACATATATATAGAACCGAAGGCAATACAGTATTTATTGATTATTTCTAAATATTATGAATTATATATGCATGAATGTGGGGTTCATAAAAGAGCTTATACTGTAAATAAAGGTTAGTCAAATTGGTAAGAATGTGGTTCATATGTTATAAGGGTACTCTTTTGTGATTATCTTTAATTCTGATACCTTATTTTATAACAATGTAATAAAAATGACACTGATTAAGAATAAATATTAACAAATTTTATCGACAGCAATTGGTTCAACGCTTGTTCTTAGCAAGTAAGATCTCGATTTTATTGAAATTTATCACTAGGGAGAGCTTTATACGCTTGTGATAAGATTCCGCTTTATCTAGATCAAAATAAGGGCCTAATGCAGCTGTTAAGAGTAGTTGTGCTTCGTCAAAAAATGATACTACATCTGGTTTTTAATATAAGAGCTTATTTGATTTTTATTGTAATCTTAAATAAAAGATCTTAATTCACTTTGTTTTTTATATTTATTTATTTATTTCTAAGATAGTCTTTGTAATAATAGTAGTTCTAACCAATACAATTGATTGGCAAAGATATTTTAAAAAAAAACAACACATATTTAATACAAATAACTAATTTAACTAATTTTTTTAATCTGCTCAAATTAGTCAACTAGCTCTTATATTAAGGGTTGGAGGTAGTATATAATAATTCATTTTTCAAATTAAGTTGACTTTGATAAATCATAAGTTTTGATGAGTTGGAAAAATTATAATCCATCAATTTTTTTCATAATTAGATTGAATTACCCGACCAACTGTAAATCCAACCTTGTTTTGTTGAATTTTTTTAAGAACAAAATTATTGAAACTTGGAATTAATTAAACATCAAATAAAATAAGTTGTTGATAATTATTAGCTTAGTACTATAAAATATTTAAGATGATTTGACATCATTACTCATGCTTGGATCATTGTTGGGAATACGCATAATGAAATCAGTGGATTATAACTTTAATTCGAATACGCAGGTTCATCATTTTACGTTAAATAAAAATCATTATTATTAAAATATATTTTCAATCTACTAATTAAAAATGAAGGGGAAATAATTAGTGACATCGATCGAGTTAGTAATCTATACAAATTTTACAGTTCTCTCGAATCTCGATCCATTCTTTTTCTGCGTAAGCAAGAAAAGAGAGGTGAAAATACTACGTCAATATATAATAATTAATTTTGAATCACTTCATGTGGAACAATTCATTATTATTGTTGTTATATGTATTGTAGCGTGCTTATTTAAGATAACTAGGTTGATTTAAGTTGATTGTAATATATATACGTAAAGTCTTAACTCTTAAAAAATATTTATTTCTAAGTATTTAAAATTTGTATTTATTATCGTTCTTCTGTC